GTCTTGGCTCCAAGCAACTGCCAGCAGCAACACAACAGAAAGTTTATTTTCATACCCCAGCCTAGAACATGACAAAAACATTGTGGTTCTGACTGGGAAGCCAGTTACCGACTTGTGACCTTATTTTTTTTTAAATGTTCACTTATAAATAATGTATCTAAGTTTCATTAAACACAGAGCTGTATTTTTCAGCCACTTACTCAAGAACAATTAAATGATAAGGGCCGTATTCTAGAGTAGACTTATAAATGATTACATTGCACTAGCATCTTGTAATACAAGTTAGTCACACCACAATGAACATGGTAGTCAACAGTGAATTATTACTTGGACATGCAGTAAATATGTCACGATAATCCTTCAGTGTCAACATCAATACTGATGAATGTCATGAAGCATCATCACCAATGACAAGCAATGTTGAGAAAATAAATAAACCAAGTTTCAATAAAAGCTCTCCATCAACTCCATATCCAGATTAGAAAAAACAAGATGTCAAACTAGTGGTTCATTGTTAAATTCATTTTGGGTTTTGGACGATAGTTATAATCTGAATGATTTCACGCTCAGGTTTGAATAGTTAGCTGCTCAACAATATTCATTCTATTTCAAGTTATTTTGTGAAACTCCTTAAGATGTTTCAGTATTTGAAAAATGTTATGTAAATTAGCTATGATGAGAGATTGAGTAGACTGGGTTATTCCTTAGAGCAGACAAAGTTTGATTGATGTACTTAAAATAACAACCATGCCTTCAGTCGACCCTTCTACCCCTATCCTTGCTGCTCTCCACCCCTCCTGATCCCAACCCCCTGCTCAGATCCAAATCCCTGACTGTCCAGCACCTTGGGAGGTCCTCCCGATGTGACAGGCGCTATATAAATGTTTCATTGTTGTAATGAAAGAAGTTGACAGTTTAGATAGTGGACGATTCTTCCCCATGTTAGATGGATCTGTTACAAAGATGGCACAGCATAAAAATGTTTAACTTAGCTTAAAGCCTCAAGATACAGTGGAAGCCGCAGAAATCAGACACAACGGGGTCAGGTGTTTTGACCATCTTAAGTGGCTTCCACTGTTGTTAGAACTGAGGTTAGGAAGCAGTTCCTTCTACAAGTAGTTGTGAAGATACAGAATGTTATGCCCAGAAAGCTGTTGAGGCAGAATCAAAAGGGATGTTTAAAAATGAGCCAAACAGAGACTTAAGTAGTAGAGGTATTCAGGGGAATGGCGAAATGGCAGGACATTGAGATTAAAGGATCTGCCAAGATCTGATAAACTGGTGGAACAGGATCAATGGACTGAATGGCCTCTCCCTGTTCCTATGGTCCTAACTTGTTATTATAATTCCATCTGAACCCTTATTATCATGCAATCATACTTCAGGATCCAACAGTTTATGGCAATTTCAAAAAAGAAAGCCTATCTATTTTAACTCCTCATCAACAATATGAAGAAGCTGTTTTGAACCTAATCTATATATTATTTTCTTTGCTGCAGGTATGTCGTCCAGAAGATTCTTGCTTTTTGAAACTGAAATTTATTCAAATTTCTTGTTGCAAGTGGGAATCAAATTCTATATATAGTGGTGTTCACTATAAAATGCTGCTTAAATCTGTCTCAAACTTGGCACATATGGTAACACTTTATCTCTGGCTCAGAAGGTTGTGGGGTTAAGCCCCGAATTGGAAATTGAGCTCTTCAGACTGACAAGTGTAATTAGGCTGAGATTTAGGCTGACAAGTGTAATTTGTTGTTGTTGTTGACATGTCAATGCAGTATTGGGGAAATGCTGCATTGATGAAGGTGCCGTCCTTTGGATGAAATATTAAACTAGTACCTATCTGCATGTTCTTCAAGTGGACATTGAAGATATCAGATACTATTTGAAAACATTTGCTCCAAATGTCTTGCCAACAATCCTCCCACTAAATATATCATTCACTCCATAGCTGTCTGTAGGACTTCCTGTGCACAAAATGGTCTTCAAAAACAGTCATGTACATAACAGTAATTTCTGTAAAGCGCTTTGAAACATTTTAACATGATAAAGCTCTCTAAAATGTGTTCTCTTTCTTAAACTTATTCCTTTGGTACTTCAATGAGTGAATTAAGATCTAACAGTGATTTTTCTTTTTTTGAAAAAAGGGCAGGCTTTGATTCCATGGAACCCCTTTTTTAACACAGTTATTAAGGTTTGACAGATCTACCCTTCCCTTTCTACACTGCAAGGGTACAGCTCCGTGGACTTATCAAATATGTGACATTTGGATAATAGAATGCACAGGCAACAATGTGAGATACAGGCACAGAAGCCAAAAATACTTCTATGGCCAAATATACCACCCAAGTCTACAAAGAAGTATGTAACAAAATGGAATTCAATGATTAACATATATACAGAATTTATACTAATCTTGGCTGTGGTATGAAAACTTGAAAGTGTTTCACAAGCAGTGCCCTTGTGAAACATTATCAAGGGTAAATCCAAAATAACCCGGTGTCACAGCCAACATGTCCTATAATGTATTGACACATTCAGCCATTCTATACCATTGTACTAAATGGTATTAAACTTTTACTAATAGGATTGAAATTTAGTGAGTTCCACTGCAATTTGTACAACAGTAAATAATAGCACTAGCAAACACCATGACATACGGCTAGGCCCGTAATTCAGCTGAGACACATCTCCATTTGCCATCATCCTTAATTTATACTACCGACCACTGCCTGCAGGACATGATGCCACTTTTCATTATCAAAAACAGATAAGTGATGTTATTTCTCTTGGAATGTCTAAAGAAAGCTTTATGCTTTCAGTGTACATTTTCAATCATTAAATCCTTATAAAAATTTGTCTATTAATCTGTAGAGAATTGTATGCATTAGTGTTCCTCGTGTGTGATTTAATAAGCAACTAAGGCACAACATTCAGCCATGTATAGGATAAATACATTTGAAAATTTGTCCACTACTTACTGCAAAACCTGTGCACAATCATTATAAGTAAGGCTGTCTTTTGTTAAACATGCAGTTTTATTCCAAGTCCAGTGAATCACAACTCTGCCTCGAAATCTCTGAGGAATGAATTGAAAAATCCAGACAGATAGGATGAGGATCTCTGCCTGATAGAATTTCTCTGTGAAATGGACTTGGCAACAAAACAAAACTGCCCGTTAATCTGGAAATCTCATTTGGAGAAGCTATTAGAGGTTCAAATGGAAAAGAGATGGGGAATGGAAAGGCTAACTCTGCATCAAGAGGGTTGGGCTTATATCAGTGAGTTAGAGTTTATAGAAGAGGGTTGTGTTTATGTAATAGGCATGGAATTTATACAAGTGGATTGGGTTTTTATGAGAATTGGGGTTTAGTGACATTCTTAGGGTGAAAAAAGCTGTATATTGTATCCAAGATGGTCAGTTAAGTTGGTGTTCCTAGGTACATTAAGTAAATTGTTCTATACCTACACTTAGTATATAGCTGTGGACTAAAGAATATGAATGTAATATTGTGAAACATTTTCTGAACATTATGAATTAAGCCTCTCTTTTATTATACATATTTCTGATTGGTGACAGCTCTATTTTTGTGTACAAAATAGTATACCATTTATCAATGCAGATAAGCAAGGCTCTCTTTTGTCTAACTTTCTATTAAAACAATAGAAAGGTCAAAGTAAAATACACACAGAACCATCCATTTCCATTGTCTAGGAAAGGAAAGGAAAACAATTTTGTCTACAGAAATACAGAGTCCATCACATTTCGTTTTGAAATGTTCTGTGCAAACAACAAGGATATAAAGGTTGGAAGGCAACAGAAATTGGGATAAGAAGGAGAAATTTAAATAAACAGAAAATAAGATACTGGACGATACAATGTGTTAGCGGGTCAGCACCCTGGGATGGTGGTTCAAATTTATCCCAGAAATTATGGAAACATTTGTTTTATCGCCGTGGCTGTTGTAAGGATCCTAATGTAAACGGTTTCAATCCAATTTCAGGTGGATGCAGGACTGCAGCAAAATCTGTCCACAGTTTGGTGCTAAATTGGATTTATAGCACATGGTTGGCCCAGGTGTAAAGCGTCTTACTCTTCATCTGAGCATGCTATACCTGACCTGGAGTCCTTGGATGCCCAAAATAGAACAGTATTCTATTCCCATGAGTTTATATAAAAGAAAATGCAACTGCAGTTTGGTAGATATAGCACAGTGCTCAATGAGTCTAGCAAATTTTGCTAGCCATTTCTGTATATTATCAAAACACATTACTTCCAGGTTTACCAGCTCTTATTAAAAAAATAATCTGTCTTTGAGAAGTTTCTTAAAGTTTATCTAATTATTTTTCTATGTTTGCACATCATCAAAATGTCTTGCATATTGCAATCTTGCAATATTAGATTACATTTTAGATTAAAATATTAGATTTCATTTAAACAAAAGTTTATTTTTCAGCAATATACAACATGCACATTCACGTTTTTCTTCATTCCTCTCTCTCTTTCTGTCTACCTATCTAGTTATTCATCTACACATCTTCTATGTTTTCTTTTCTTTATATCCCCTGAAAGTAACATTTGAATTGAATTTTTTGGAAAAAAATACAAGTCTGAATTGTGTGGCAATGAAAATAAAAATCTGCGTACAATTAAGCCTAGTGTTGGTTATCGTGCCTATGTATGTGAGTCTAGTGTGTTCGTTGTGAGATGTGCCGAAAGAGGAGCTAATTAGACTCATCATTTTTTTCCACCTCCCTTGTAGCACTCGTCGAAAACTGAAGGTATTGGAGTTCCCACCACTCGGAGTTAGGTATTACATTGAATTACGTATTTTAAAGCCAAACCATTCATATTGATCATATACAAGTTCATTGACAAACACAATATGCATTTAACCTAAACAAAGATATGGCTGAATATTGTACCTCGAGGTTCATGCTATATTGCTTTTGCAGTTCTTTAAGGGTTAACAAAGAAACTAAGAAAAAAATCTACCTGCATTGTACATAATGTTTGGCTTAGTGGACATAATAGAGCCAGTACACTAAGTTAAAAAAACCAAATGTAATAGGAAAGACTACCCGTGACCACCGGTCTATGGCGTTCACGTCAGTCAGATCTGGGATTTTGACTTTAAGTTGTGACGCCCGTCTCCGTAAACGTCCTTTCTTCTGAACCATATGCCTTTCCAACGTGCTTCTACCGTAGCCATCTCTGCCTGCAGTTGGCCTTCGATACTGGATGTTGGTACTGTCATAAGAATACATGGTCCCTCTTGGATCACTGATACTTGTCAGCACCTCTGAAGCGGTGACTTCATTCCTAATTTCGAGTGTTGTCAGGATAATATTTCCGTGGGCATCAACCTGCAATAAAAAGAGAGATATTTTGAGAAACCGGGAGATGCATTGACCTGTACAATGCCTGCAGTTAATGTCACCAGCGATTGCAGAAAGTGGTGCACTTCACAAAATGAGTATCTCAAACAGTGAGGAGTACTTAAGTCGTAGACTGTCCCACAAATAACCAGGAATCGAATGACCAATTTGTAGTATTTAGCCAATTCGCTTTTAAATTCTGATATTGACTTGGCTTCTAGAAACATGCAAGGTGATGCATTCCATATTTTAACATAAAAAGTTCCCATTTTTTCCACTGCTGATAATCCTCAATTTATGCCATCTCATCACTGACTCAGGATTCAAAAGAAGTAAACTATTTATCCCATTAAAATCAGTCATAATTTTGAATTTTTTTAGATTCCCTCTCAACCTTCTGTACTACTCAACAAACCACCAGCAAATGTTTTCTCCTCCTGGCCCGGTCACTTGCAGGGTACCCCAAGGCTCCATCCTTGACTCCCTTCTTTTCCCTATCTGCAAAGTGACCAAAGAGTCGTGATATCTATGCTATTATCTAAAAAAAACCATCATCTCTTTAAGACTTAAGAGATATTGTATTGGTATCACATCGTTTTGGTCAGCCTGTACATGCTCCCTATCGGCAATGTCAACGGCAGACTTGGGGTGAACTTCCACATGTATGCAGATGACATCCAAATCTACTTCTCCTCCAGCTGTGATTCCCAGTCCGCTGATATCCTGTCAGCTTGTTTGACGGACATCAAGGTCTGGATGAGCGCAAATTTCCTGCAGCTGAATGTCGGCAAGACAGAAGCCTTACTCTTTGGCTCCCGTCAACATCTGCTCTCCTGTGGGTCTGAACTTAATCTCCCAGGGCTCTCCCTCAGACTCTCCAAACCTGTGTGCAACTTAGGTGTTAGGTTCGATCCCCAGCTTTCCTTTCTACCACACATCTGTTCCCTGACCAGGACTTCTTTCTTTCGCCTCCGTCACATTGCACGCCTCTGTCTGTACCTCACAACCAATGCAGCCGAAACCCTTGTCCCGGCCTTCATCACTTCCCAGCTGAACTATTCCAATGCCCTCTTTGCTAATCTCCACCAGACACAAAATTCAATTAATTCAAAACTCCACCATCCAGATACACACCTGCGCAAAACTCCGTACACCCATCACACCAGCCCTTGCCAGGCTCCACTGGCTCTCAATTACCGAATGGATCAATTTCAATATCCTCTCACTTGTTTTCAAATTCCTATATTCCGTTGCACCTTCCTACCTCTCCGATCTGCTTACCCCCCACTGACTCCACCACCTGCTGCCTCTGCTTGGCTGGCTCCGGCCTCCTGTTTGTCCCTCGTCCCCTCCGCTCCATCATCGGTGGTTGTTCCTTCAGCCACTATGCCCCAAAACTGTGAAACTGGCTCCCTCAATCCCTCCGCCTTGCCCCCTCCCACCTCACTTTCAAATCCCCCTAAAGACTTTCCTTTTTGATCGTGCTTACGGTCACCTCCCCTCTCCCTCTCCCCATAGCTCGGTGTCAGACTCTGCTACTGTCGAGTGCTCCGAGACACTATGTCTCGTGAAGGGCACGATATAAATGCAAGTTGTTGACATTATTTGAGGGAATCTCCATTGCGCTCCACTACTGTAAATTGCGCCCCCTCCCATCTTGGGTTCCTAGTCAGCAGTGCGAGAAGTCCTTCCCTGACATGAAAGACACTATATATAAATGTCAATTGTTATTGTTGTTGTGCTCTCTTCATGACTCTCCTATAATCTCCTGTGCCATGGAGGTTCTCAGCTCATTTGAGAACACTTATCACCTCGGAATCAGATGTTGTGGGGCTCAACTTTGGGACTTTTGCTATCTTTCAGGTGAGACATTAAACCAAGGTCCCATCTGCCGGTTCATGTAGATATTAAAGATCCCATAGCATCATTCAATAAGTGATTCTCTCTTGGTGTCCTAGCATAAAATATTCCATATAAAATTGATTGTTAATTTAAGGCTGTTTGCAGGATATTGCTGTGCACAAATTGGACACCACTTTTGCTACAAATACATAGATACTAAACTTTACAATAAATCTCAAGAAGCGCTGTAAAACATTTACTGGTGCAAGATTATTATGGTAGAAGGAAGACATAGTTTAACACTCAACATATGACACATGTGCTTTAGTATGCATCCTTCTCATTTTATCATGTCTTTAATTTAAACTTTTGTATGCTTTCTGAATTAAATATATTGTTATGTACTATCTGTCTAACTGATGACAGATTATATCACTTCAGGCAAGTAACACTTATACTAAAACCCTGAGTTATGTCTATAGACTGATATACTCTGTATTTCACTGTAGAACCCCAGGCCTGCAGCCATAGGGTCCACTGACTTGATAGAAAAACTTGAGGGAGGAGAGCTCCCTTTTCAGCCTAATTGGACTTGTGACAACCAAAGCACCCGGGGCGTCCAACTGAGCAGCTGCCTGAGAACTCAAAGAACCTCCTAGGACACATCAGAGGCATCATGCCATAAAACAACTGTATTTCTATTACTTATTAATTTACTGGTGCAGAGAAGTTAGAGGTTTAGGCATTTTCTCCTGTAACCTTATCATTTATCCCTTTTTTTCATCCCCCACTGCTCTCAGTGGCCATAAACACTCTTTCCAACTCCTTCCATCTCCAATTTGCAAAGGGAGGTAATGATTTCAGGCCCTCCGTGATACCAGTTGGTGACTCCCACAACTTAACACAGGGCGAAAAAACAGACCAGAGAAAAAATATGCTAAATTACTTAAAGATAGTGTTTTGAAAAAGAGGCTCACTCGCAGGAATTCGAGATGGTGTGGCATAAATTACACTAACCTGCTCTTCTCAGATATTCCCAAAGTATGACCATGAAAGTTTCCAAGAATTCACCAGGGTTAATTATCATTTTTTGGGGTTTGAAAAAATTCATCCTATCACCTATCTACAGAGATTCCATAGCTGACTCCAGGGTAACTCCGGCTACAGAACTCTTGCAAAGTATTGATATGTTAAATCACACTCTTCCTAGTGGGCTGCTGAATTTTCTCCAACACCTAACTGTCAACCGAACTGGTCTATAATTTCCATCATTCTGCCTGTGTCTTTTCTGTAGATGAGAATCAGATGTTGTTTTCCCTTCTTCTGAGATTACCCTATTTCTCAAGATTGGTGAATAATTTTAGTCAAGCACTTGTATCTGTTTTATTCCAAATTCATTCCAATGATGCCTGACCTGTTTTTAATCCTGCAATTACTTTCATTTTGTGTATGATCATGTTTTTTGTCACCTTAAATACCTGCTTTGTTACTTGGCAACCGTTTTTTGCATCAGAAATGCTACTAAAAACCTTGTGACCATTGGTGAGCAAAAGGTTTATCTTACCCTTTTCTTCCCCCACTGACCTCCCTCTCATGCTCCTCCATATGTAACACCTTCAAAGAAAAGCTTTACAAAAATAGTGTATGAGGTATTATCTGAAGCTCAATAGGAAATTGAAATTTCTGTACTGTACTTTGAATTTAGATTCTAGGCTTGATTAACACAGTGCTGGGGGAGCACAGCATTGATGGAAGTGCCATCTTTGGATGAAGTATTAATTATATAATAATAATCCTTGCATTTGATATCGCGCTTTTCACGTCTTCTAGATGTCTCAAAGCGCTTCACAGAATATACTGTAAAGTGAATTGACTGCATATTATGTGGGCGAAATGTAGCAGCCAATTTTGCACAGCAGTGTCCCACAAATAGTTGTGGATTGAAGTGACCAATTTATTATTTTAAAATTTTTTTTTGAGAGATTATTATTAGGCGTGTGGAGTAAGGAAACTTGCCCAAGGTTTCGCCCTGCCAGGAATCAAACCCAGGTCTCTCGCTTGCAAAGCGAATGCTCTAACCACTGAGCTCAGGACTCCACAAACTAAAGATCAGTCTGTCTTTCGAGATAGATGTTAAAGATCTCATGACACAGTTTGAAAAGAGAAGGAGATTCTCCCTGTGTCCTAGCCAACAATCTTCCAGGTAAAAAAAATTATTCACTTCATGTAAGACATTACTGTGTGCAAATTGGTTGCCGCATTTGCCTATAAAATACAGTTACTAGACATTGCAGAAAATCCCGTGAAGTGCTTTGAGATGTGCTTCCAACTTGAAAGGTGCTGTACCAACTTCAACAATTATGATTATTTTATTACTCACAGTGCTTGACTCCTGAACTCTCACATCATCGTGGAAACTTTCAGCATTCTATGTGAATGAGACACCTGAGATAGCCACATTGATCTCAGTGAAAATTACGATGTTTCAGATTTTGGAAAGGGGGAATGGGGGGAATTGAGGGGGGAAATGTGTCAGGTGATGTGATAATTACCACATGTTACAGTGATTACCTGTGATCAATATCACATCACCAAAAAAAAACTTGTTAATTAAGTTAGATTACTTGAACGCTCCTCACGAGCCAGTTTTAGGCGTGAGAGAGGTATTGAATAAATTACTTATGAAAAACAGACTCTTGATGTTCCTTATGAGAATATTATTTTATGATGATCATCACTAATGTACAGTATTTGTTAATTTTTAGGTTGGCAGCATCTTGAGTTCACTGTTACATGTTAATTCCCCTGTGTGACCTCTGTTATGGTTGCTTGTTTTGTCTTGCTTCGTGTTCTCCATTTTCAAAGTAACTACCCTTGTGTCCACTGTATTCTAAGATAATTAAAGTTTCAAATGATCAATACCCTTGCTTTTGCAGAAATCCCCTGATCTGCTCAAACAATACCATATTGATTTCATCACTCTGTTTCAATGATCTGTGACAGGGTCCTGTTATTAGCTTCCTATCCTTGCTGTCATAGATTTCTACCTAAATTAACTCAGACAACTTTCCCTTTGAAGATATGTGTAGCATTTTGTTGACTCCCTGACAACCAACACAAGCCTTTCCAGTTGATTTCTCTTCGTC